TGCTACCGTGAATTACTGGTGCATGCTACTTAAGCTAATGTGATTTAATCAGGTTCTTAACTCCAATGATTCTCCTGGAGTAGTAAATTATAAATTATTTACCAGATTGAACTCTTCCATGGGGATTGTAGTTTACAATGGAAGTGCTGTAAAAGTCCAAATATACTGGTACACAGACTGGAAGCAATAGTACTGGAATTCAGTGTACAAAGTGTTCCTGGTCTAAAATTAAACTCTTCCTTTACTTAGTCATCGGTTTTCTCTTAAAAGCTTCTCTTTGTGCCCTTTTGAGCTTTTTACAGTCCTCACTAGCAAAAATCTCTGCTCGTCTGCAGAGAAAATTGTTGCTTATGCAAAGCTCAAGTTCCAAGGTTGATGCCTTCATCCCTGAGATGGACAGACACACGGTTCTGCTCTCTGGTCAATAACTGACACAGGCTCTTGGTCACAGCCAGCTGTTGTGAGAAAGAAGTGTGTGTGACATGCTCTTGATGCATTTGTTACGCATCTTGGTGCAGCACTAAGAGGCTGAAGTATCCTGGTTTTAAGCATAAAGGTTGTAGATGGATTTCCATCATTTTCAAGACAAAACCAGTTTCTATTTGGATAGTCTGGCTTGTCTATGAAGAATTACTATCTGTTGTGCAATAGGCATGGCTGAACTGAAGTTGAATGGTTTTCGTGAGTTTGCTTTGGCTAGACATGAGGACTTAAAAAGCGCTCAAGATGTTTGCAAGCTGTAAGTGACTCTCCGAACTTGTATTCAAAAGGTAGGGCTAAATACCATGACTTGATTCAGCTGTTTAGTGATGAAGAGACCATATTTGCTCACTGGATTCAAAAGTGCCCTTCATGTGATAGGGAAACTCAATTGATGGTCTAATCCTCATCACAGATGTACAGGAACAGACTTTTGTGTAGAGAGTGTCACTTAAGATGAAATCCTAGTTGCAACTGCAGCTAAAACCTGTGAGCTGGTGGTCTTGCATGTTTTGGGTCTCATATACATCCTTGGTGTCCCTGTCAAGATAAGAACTAGAGCAGGAGATGAGATGAGGGTGAGCAGTTGAGCCGGGCTGCCCAGCAACTATATGCAGATCCTTTTTTTGGGATGCATATAGCTTTATATAGTCACATGAGTAAGAGTTATGGGAAAGTATTACTGCATTCTTGGTTTGTATTATGTTTAAAAAGATAGGTGCTTACAGAGCTTTTTGCAAGCAGTTTTTAATTGGATATGTATAGCCTCTGTCCAAGCCTTACTCTTTTCTAATGGCCTCAAAAATGCAATAATTGATCACCTCTAACAAGCTGGTCATCTGGCCACTAGGTCTGTGTGACATAAAGCTGAAATGGGATATTCAGTGAACTCTGGAGAGATTCACATAATTCTTCTGACTCCAGCATTTAACTGATGGAGTGTCAGTATTAAGCAGACAGTAAGTTATGCTTATGTATTTCCCATTAGAGAAATGAACTTAGTTTGAAGATTTGTAATATTAGTATCTGAGTTTATCTGTGCTGGCTCAGTCTGGGTCACTGCACTCCATGGAGAGGGAAATGCATTAGAAAGCCCTATATTTAGTAGAACTCTTGTGTAAAAAACATATGGACCCCATTTCTTAGCAAATGGGACAGTCCTGGTGAAGAATGGGAAAAGACTAAATATCAGATTAATAATTGTATCTCATGCTAAGTATCTTTGTATCTTCATCTCGGGTTGATCTTTACTGTGTCAGTAAATTTTCACTATCTGTAAGATGCTGACGAGTAAGTTTGCTATCTAATCCAGCCTGCAGTGATACTAGGTATCTGTGAAGCAAAAGTCTTTTATCTGGTTCATTCAGCCTGATAGTGGAGTTGGTTCTCCGTTGTACATGCAGGTAATGGGCACTGGGGCATGGAAGGGCAGGAGAGGCATCAGGCTGTCCTTGTGGAACAGAATGTTACCCTTTTCTTACAGATACCCATGGGGGTGCTCAGTAGGGCTTAACTGGATTACCCGAAAGTTGAAGTGTGGGTGAAATCATGGAAATGATAGTAAATGGAATCATGAAAATCATAGTAATTGTCTCTAGAATAACTTAGTAATTTTGAATCTTTCTTTTCAGAAGAAAGCACCCTTAGTTTGAGAGTACTGCTTGCCTGAGAAGCACCTTCACCTGAGGCCTTTTAAGATATATAGCTTAAATGCTTGCCACCTCCTGTAATAAAGTTTTATTAATTTTGTGCTTGAGGAAAGGGGGAAAGTGCTTTAGAACAATGTAGTCCAGATTGTCTTGGCAGGTTTGTCCCATCCAGGATAGAAGTGATCCTGGCTCATGTCCATTTAGCGGAAGAGAGATTCTTATCATGTCATTACGTGCAGGAATAAGAAATGTCTCTTACTCTGCCTCACATATCTCATGAGGATACTTACTACTCCCCTGATGGCAGGAACAGTCCTCAGTGTTTTCAGGCTGCTAAACTGTGAAGTGTTGTAATCATTCACTGAGGCTTGCAGTGTTCATATGACCATCCTGTAGGAAGTACTGACATTTTGCTGAGAAAAGATGTCTGACTTCCCTAATAATAAGGATGGCAGTGATTCTAGAATTAGAATTACAGTTTCTGAAAGATTTGCTAGATTTTATAATTGGTAAACCAGGAAATTTAAATACCAGAGTGTGATGCAAAAAATCTTACTTATCTTAGTGAAGATACCCAAAATGCTATTCTTTAATGTGGACCAGATTTTGGAGCTAATCATTTTGGGCTTAAAGCTGAACTTCCAGCAGGAAATGCCTGAAGGTTCTCACCATGCAGAATGAGTGGCCATTGAAAAGTAGGTCAAACTGAAGCACACTAATTGAGAGGAGACCTTGAGGGAGGGTGTGTTTCAGCTTCAGTACTGTGGAAATACATCTGGATTCGGACTAATTAAATCAAATTAGGAACTTGACCATGCTGCCATTCATTCTCTTGACCATTCTTGTGACATTTGATCACTTTTAGAATGGACTGTACTCTTTTGGCAGATAGACTCATGTTGAGGGTTTTGTTCAAGCATGGCTGACAGAGAGAGGCCATGGTCAGCTACAACTGGTAAAGCAGTGATTTTCCCCTAAGACAAAAACAAGGGCGGAGGCCACGGTATTGGGCGAAAAGTGAAGAACCAACAGGGGGTAGAGACGGGGTCTGTCTGGTTTAGTTGCTATAAATAGAAACGGGGAATCCCCAAACGTCTGGGATAAGGAGAAAAACAAGGGGCTGCACCGGCCTTGAGCGGGTAACCAATGATGAGCTCTGCTTTTGCAATATGTATGAGTCTCATTATCGTTTCTATATAACCTGTTACCAATGTTTCAATAAACGAGTTTTGCTGGACCAAGAGGGTGGGCATTACTCCCGTCTTCCACATTAGGCCCTTCAGTTCAGGAAGGGTATTGATGTGCTGGTGCAAGTCCAGAGAAGAGCACTGAGGCTGGTAAAGGAGCTCAAGCATAAGTGCTATGAGGAGAGGCTGAAGGAGCTCGAGTAGTTTAGCCTAGAGAAGAGGAGACTCAGAGGTGACCTTATTGCCCTGTACAACTACCTGAAAGGAGGATGTAGTCAGGAGGGGACCCCGACAGACTCAGATTGTGCTCAGCATTAATGTGCTCAAGTGTATGTGTGAACATGTAATTTGTCACAATATGTGGACTTCGTCTGGTCTAGAGCAAGAACAGTGGAATTAAGAGCCCGTCGTTTTTTCCTCTGCTGTTCAAGCTCACAGAATTTGATGGAGCTCTTACTTGGATGTTTATTGGGTACTAAAACATTCTGTGTTACATATGAAAGGTACACAAGTTGTCTTGATATGGAAACATCTTTCCTTACTGACACAGAAGCCTGTAATAGCCACATGCCCAACAGATGTGTTTTCAGAACTCTAAGGGCATTGGTTCTGATCAATTCGTGCCTAAACTTTTAAACTTTGATTCTCTTCAGGAATGAATGGCACCTACTGAGGTTTACTAGCTTGTGTTGAAATTTTTACCTCTGAAGTGAGGTAAAAGTTAGCAGAATTGAGAGTCATTCAGCGGAGAGACACTTGCGGGAATGAGCAAACTTAACGCATGCGTGCATTTGGCTTGTATTGCATTACTGAAACTCGAGTCTGTTGAGATTAGCAGTTACTGAGCCGAATAGCTCTTCATTAGTCAGCTCAACAGAAAACAAACAGTTCCCGAGGCATTCTTGGGCACAATCTTGACACGCCACACTTGTTGATATCTCTGTTACATACCCAATTTACGGTGTAGAGAGTAGCTTAAAGAAGCTGTAGCAAGACGTGATCAGCCCGCTCAAAACACACTAAAGCAGTGTTTGTGACACCTTCATGAGGCTTCTTGCCCAAAGGGTTTAGTCTGTTGTATGAAGGTCCTGGTGCTATGTATCAAAGGAGTCTAATGACTCAGTGATGATGGTGGTAGTTTCTATCCTGTCTCCTTGAGGGCAGTAATTTTTTACTTGCAGTGCACTGAAAATCTGTATAGATTAATCCCTTGAGAGGCTTCAGTGAAGCTGATACAGTTCCTGTGCTTGAAAAGCATCGCTCTGGGGCATAAAGCAGGTGCTTAGGCTTGTCACAGTTACTGTTACATAAAATGCAGCTTGCAGACATACCAAGCTGGGGTGTGCTGCATAGGTAGATCTGATTTACTGCTGACCAACTGAAACAGCATCATCCATTCACTGCTACCTCCTCCGTTTGACATGAAATTGAGAGTGAACTAAGTTAACCCGAAAGGATGAAAATGAGAAATAGCCATCTTCTAGGGCAGTTTATTCGGTGGCATAGAATGACTTCAAATTACATTAAGAATAGTGTTGTGTAGTTCTTTGCCTATGGAACAAAGGTAATCAGAAGATAAATCATTGTTCCATAATATACACTTATCAGTCTTGCATCTCATTCTGGAGGAGATTTTAGATATAGAGGCTTGAGTTAGGCTTTCAACATGGGAAGGATAATAAAGCATTCTCTTCCATCTTTCTAGCTCCAAAATTTGGGCATTAACCCAGCAAACATTGGATTCAGTACCCTGACAATGGAATCTGACAAGTTCATCTGCATCAGGGAGAAAGTGGGAGAGCAGGCACAAGTAGTGATAATTGACATGAGTGATCCAACAACAACCATCAGACGTCCAATCTCTGCAGAAAGTGCCATCATGAATCCTGCCTCTAAAGTAATAGCACTGAAAGGTGAGTAACCCTTTACAACTGCAGTGTGAAAACTGCTGTTGATCTGTATTGCTGCTTACAAGTGCTCTGAAGCTTTATGTAAACTTTGTAAGAAGAATGTTTATGAGGGTAAGAATTCTTGCCTGAACTTGCATGCTGTATTTTTGGCAGTAGATCTTTCAGTAATCTTTGGATGATTTGCCTCCAAGTGGGTGTGAGATGCTTGGACCTGGCACTGCAGCTTCCTATCCTCACTGAGGACCAGGTCAGCATCTGGTGTTCTTTCCCTTTAAACAGGTATTGTAAACATAATGAACGCTTGTATAGATGAATAGGGGTGTAAAGCTGTTCTTGCTTTCTGTTCTGTCCTGGCCCTTTCCTGTAGCTCTGGAGGGTTTACTAGATGCCAACAAAAAATGTTATAAGGATGCCTGGTAACTGTGGAAGTTTGAGTGTACAAGCATGTTAAGTATGGGAGTCACGAGGTCTTGCAGCTAGACCGCTAGACCTCTGCTTATCCAGTACCTATGGTGTTTGTTACTGCTTTAAGTAGCACTCTGAGCTCAAAGAAGTAATTTTTAATACATCTCTGGCTCTTTCCTCAAATGACCAACATCTGGTACTTCATCTCAATAACCGTTACTGACTATGTACTTTTCTTCCTGCATCTTATCTAAACAGATGGTGAGTGAATTTTGTCATGACATTTCATGTTCAGTAGTACAGAATGGTCTAATCTCATAAAAAGTACTGAACTTTAAGGTGGCTGTTTGACAGTTCACTTCATGGCCAGGTGGGGGAATCTTAATCCTCAGCTGGCATTAAAATAATGACAATGTTCTCCATTGGCTTGTTGCTAACCATTTGGCTGCTTTGACTATTGACTGTACCGAGTGAAGAAGAGTGTGCTCTTAATGTTTTGTGTGTTTGTGTGTATGTGATGGAAGTACAGTTGATAGACAAAATGAAGTTGCAATATTTTTATGAGAGACCTCTGCTAGCATGTCCTGTGTGCTATTCATTTCTGCCTAAGTGGTTTATATTGTGAAAAATCATGGTGAATTTACTTAGGAGAGGGGTCCAAGAAATAACTGTCCTCAGAAGTAACACAAAACACGTAACTTGTCTTTGATCTTGGGTTTATACTGACATGAGGTTAAAACTCAAGTGTGAATGTTTGACTTCAGCTGAATCTGTGAATCAGCTAAGGTGATTATACGTCTTGCAAAGGACTGCCTTACTCAGGGTATGAGTAGAGGTAACAGTGAAAAAAATTTCAGATCTGGTAAGAGTTCACTGTCCTTAATCTTGGACCCCTTTAAACGAACTGTTGGCAAGGAAAGTGCTTTCTCTACACTAGCAGAGCTTCGTCTACCTCTTACAAGAAAAAGATATCATCTGGTTTTTAAAATAACATACTAACTAAATGGATTATCATCAGCTTCAAAGAATCTGTCTTTATTCTTGCCAGATAAGACTTGCTCTGAAGGAGTATCATTCTGTCCATTCAGAGTGAATAAACCTGTCTTCTGAAGACATAAGGTTGAGTTAATGTCACACTGATATGCAAAGTTGTGTTGTCAAGTGTTGCAAACTTAATTATCTCTTCTATAATCTAATGATCAAACTTTGAGTAGAAAACAGGATGAATAGAGCTACCTGACCAGTATGTTGTTACCCAGGATAACCTGCAATGAAGACATGGTTTAAGTCCATCTCTCACTCTAGGTTTTCCCCTGCTGAGTGAGTGAGGCTTCAGTAGTCAAAACTGTTGTATATTGTGACTCAGTGTGCCATGATTGGGAGTTGCTCATAATCCCAGGATTACTGAGCAATAAATGTACAAACCCACCCTCAGAAAAGGAAATGAAATGGTTCTTGTTTTAAACTGAAATACAGTAAGCACAATTTCATTTCTGGATTGCATGTGGCATTCTCCTGGTGTATCAAGATTTATGCATTGTTCTTGTGGTTGTGATTCTCTTGCTTTGCTTTGTACTGAGAATACTCAGCTGTTGGTGTAAGTGGAGAATGCAGCACTCGTGGGTGCTTCCATTCTTTGTGGAATGGAGAAACTTCATGCTCCAGTGAACTGAAATGTAAATTCTTGTGTTAGTGTTCAAAAAATGAATCTGCTTACTTGACTACACCTGTATAGTCTAAGTAGACTCACCAGTTTGGTAGCTGTGTTTGGTAGACATAAGACACAAACTCACCCTTGCCCTCACAATGATTTTATAGCAGGTCCTGCTCTCTCTCAATCTAAATAACAGGTTTTGGGGGTTTTTGGTAGTTTAATTACAGTTTAGGATTGTGAAGTTTGAATTTGCCACACTTAGGCAATTGTATTGCTATGGCTTCTATGGCCCTAACATCCAAAGCTAAACTGCCTAATTGAAGGTTCTATATCCATTACCAACTGTAACACAGTTTTGTCCCCTGGCACTGCTTTGAACTGATATGATCGATTTACTGTATAAATTTTGCTAAAATGCTGTTGTGCAGTTCAAGATGCATATTAGCTTGCCATTAGTATTTCTTCAAAATGATTCCTTAGTGACCAGCAGCCTTTTATCTATCAACAAACATCTCCCAGTTTGGCAGTCACAAGTGTTACTAACAGGAAACACTTCTGAAATGTGGATAGAAATAATGGCATTACAAGCCAGTACTCTAGCAGTCTGAGTGGGTGCCTTGTGAACAGAAAACAATATTCCTGGAGTTGAGTTATCTCATCTGCAGTGAAATAAAATATCACTTTTACTTCCTGAAAGGAATGGAGTCCCTTATTCTTTATAGGTTAGTTCAGTTAATGTTGGTTTTACTTCTATGCTTACTAGGGTAAGGCTTCTGGTAGTTGAAAGGAATACTAAAGTCAAGCTTAAACCTGCAACATAGTTTCCTAAGTCATGAAGCAGTAATCTTAACTTGAACTAGAACTCCAAACCTTTCTACAGTTGTTCTGAACTTTTGACTGTCCTCTTCAGTATGCACTTTTTGTATTACTGTTGTACAGGGCCCATCCATCTAGTTCAGCATGCAGTTCATCCAACAGCAGAATGAAATGGGAGCTGGGGTCTTTGGCTATCCCAAGACCTGTTTTAAGTCTCGTGCTATTGGGCTCAGTCCAGGTCATCTGCAGCAGTTAATACATTGACACAAACTGGAGCCATTCTTTTTATTAATTATACTAAGTGACATCTGCTAGATAGCAGTAACTTAGCATAGCAGTACTGCCACCTAAACAAGAGTTTACACAAGCTCTGTAGTTTTAGACTGTCTTTTAGCTACAGCTTATAGTTAATTAAAATGTCTGTGCTTGTCAGTTGTTGGAATGTCTGTGTAAGTGCCTGTAAGAAGATTTCCTTTTTTTTTTTTTTTCCCCTGTTCGTTAAGAGTCGTGTATCAAAGGAGGCTCACATGTGACAGGACACTTAACCCTGTCTAACACCACTGGAATAGTGGGTTAAACTGGGTGCATGTAAATAGGCAGACTACAGGATGGCCATTGTGGTAATCAGTCTATGATGTTTCTTGGATTTTGTCATACTAGCTGGGAAAACACTTCAGATCTTTAACATTGAGATGAAAAGTAAAATGAAAGCCCACACAATGGCAGAGGAAGTGATCTTCTGGAAGTGGATATCTGTGAATACAGTTGCCTTGGTGACAGAGACAGCAGTCTACCACTGGAGCATGGAGGGAGAATCGCAGCCCCAAAAGATGTTTGACAGACATGTCAGTCTTGCAGGCTGCCAAATCATCAATTACAGAACAGATGAACACCAAAAATGGCTGCTGCTGATAGGAATTTCAGCACAGGTAAGTTCCCTAGAAACAGCATGTTAGGAAGGCAATTGGGAGAGCTGTGGCCCCACTTAATAGCACTTTCAGTTTCTTTGTTTTCTATAGATAAAAACCTCAGAAGTACCTTTTGTGTATGAATACCCTGACTTTTAATGTGCTCGAAGTGTTGGAGGAGGGGATGAGAGGCATTTGCTGCGTTGTAGTTTACTGTCCCAAAGGTCTTGCTACAAACATTTGAAATCTTGTCTCTAAAAGCTGACCTTTCTTTTTTTTTTCCTAGCAAAATCGTGTGGTTGGTGCAATGCAGCTGTACTCTGTTGATAGAAAAGTCTCCCAGCCTATAGAAGGCCATGCAGCAGCTTTTGCAGAATTCAAAATAGAGGGAAATGCCAAACCTTCTACCCTCTTCTGTTTTGCTGTGAGGAGTCCTTCTGGAGGCAAGGTAAAGTCTGCACCTGTGTTCCTGTTGTGCTGTAGTAAAACTGCTAGTAGAATTTCAGTGATCGCATGGTTCAGTGCATGCTCTCTGAAACAACAGCTTGGGAACCATGTGTGCAGCATATTTGGTCAGCATCAAAATGCTTTCTTTCAATGTATAGAAACTGCAAAAAGTGGACTTGCTTGGGTGAAACTTAAACCTAAAGACAAATGTAGGTGAACTGAGCTCAGGATGTTAAAACATCAGTTAATGTCCCTGTGGGTTTTTTGTGTGCATGAAGTAAAGTTATTTAAGCAGTCTCTTATGTCTTGAATTCAGTACAGAAAGAGACTAGATAAGCTGTAGTGCTGTAGGTAGGTTATTTGCATCAAACTGACTGTGGAATTCAGTAGCAATTGAATATATGCTACAACTCTCGAGCAGTCTCTGAAGACCTGAGGTAACACCAAAATAAATGTATTGAGCTTTCTAGTCTTGTCCTACAAAATAGATGAATTGACAAGCCTGACTCAAAACATTTTAGCAGGTTGTCTTGAATAGGAATGGAGTCATAGCAGTCATAGAAGGTGTGGTTGTTTTATGTTTTGTTTTAAATATTTTCCCAGTTTTTAATTTATCAAGTTCCAGAAAACTTAGTACTCTGAATATGTGGAGCACAGCTCCCCATACTGTGTTGGTCTAATGTGGCAGATGACTTCAGTAGCACACCTGAGGAGAGGAACTTCTTTCATGTGGCTGTACTTGCAGACCGTCTTGTGACGTCAGCTCTTTTCTTCCTAGCTACACATAATTGAAGTAGGTCAGCCAGCTGCTGGAAATCAGACATTTGTTAAGAAAGCTGTTGATGTGTTTTTCCCACCTGAGGCACAACCGGACTTTCCTGTGGCAATGCAGGTAAATGTTTGACCCCAAAGAAATCAGCTTTATAGCCTGGCAAGTAGCTGCTATCTCTGTTGTAGAGAATCTTTCAACTAGAGCTTTGCTGTCATTCTTTCTAGTTCTGGGAGGGGTGTTAATAGGTTTGTGGGAGGTAGCCTGAAAAGTAACTCAAATACATGGGCTGTTCCTCTATTTGTCTAGATGTCAATTTAAGTTTGTATTAAAAAAGATAATTAAACAAACAAAAAGCCCTATCAAAACTCCTACCAAAAAAACTCCCAAAACCAAAAGAAAACCCAAATCCAACAAAACAGACCCTAAAAAAACCCCTCAGCAGTCTCTTCAGGTAGAATGTGTCTAACATCACTTTGGCTGTTGAGCTTCCTAGGTATGTTCAGAGTTCTAGATAAGCATATTAGCATACCTTCTGTAGTAGCAGCATAGAAAAGGTGATTTGGGACATTAATGGGAGGTTCTTTAGCAAAAGCATAGCTGGTTGCTTTGACAGAACAAGCTTCACTTAGCATGTCTGCAGGAGTAGAAATTGTGTAATAAAAGCAGACTGTGTCAGAGTATGCAACTGCTGCCCACTCTAATAGACCAGCTTCATAAATGGACGAAGAGATGCCTTAAACTAAGGTAAACAAAGCAACTGTGTGCATGACAGGATTGATGTGGCTCCACTTGAGGCTTAATTAACAAAACGTCCAAAGACTTGTTCTGAAGTGGAAGTACTTCCTTGTCTGATGACCATTTTGGCTTGAAAGCCTCCCCAGTTTTAGTGACTTGACAGGTAAACTGGAGTACTCAGCTTGGTTTAGGTTCTGCCAGTTCTTTGGGTAGGCTTTGTTGGAAGAGAGTGGGCTTATCTCATTAGTATTTCTGAATAGAAACTTGTACTGACATATCTAGAGTAGAATGTTAGTTATGCCCAAGGTTTCTCCCTCAGCCTGACTCATTAGGATGAGGAGTATGTTCTTTGCTGCAGATGAATTTTAATTTCCCTTCAGCCTCTCTGTTCACTGGGGCTATGTCTGCAAATGGCCAGCGAAGCTATTCATTGCTTTTGTAAGGAGGCTATATTTGTTCTTAGTGTCAGTCCAACGGCATGTCACTGTACTACTGACTTGTGACTAGGCTAAAGACAGCTGTTTTTACTGTTAGTCTTAGTTTTGACTAATAAAAACCTCATATTTTGGCAGATTGGAATTAAGCATGGTGTTATCTATCTGATCACCAAGTATGGATATATTCACATGTATGACTTGGAGTCTGGAGTGTGCATCTACATGAACCGTATTAGTGCTGATACTATCTTTGTCACAGCTCCTTATGAACCTACCTCAGGCATAATTGGTGTGAACAAAAAAGGACAGGTAACAAATCTAACATTCTTCTTCTGAGCCTTCTAAAGTCCAGATGGAGCATAACAAACCTAATGAGGGACTTCATGCAATAAATGTCATGGAAGGGAGCAAGTGACTATTTGAGTAGTGAGTTTTTAATCTCTACTAGTACAGAACTACTTGGGGTGGAACTTGTTTTTTTAATAATATGCTACTTCACGGATGGGCTACATAGCTCTGTTGCTCTGTTTCGGAATAGTTGTGGAAAGGACATTACTTCTCAATATGTGTTTTGTCCTTTCCAGGTGCTTTCTGTATGTGTTGAGGAAGACAACATAGTGAACTATGCTACGAATGTTCTCCAGAATCCTGACTTGGGACTGCGAATGGCTATACGTAGTAACCTAGCTGGGGCAGAGGAATTGTTTGCCAGAAAGTTTAACACACTGTTTGCTCAAGGAAACTATGCAGATGCTGCTAAAGTAGCTGCATCTGCACCAAAGGTAAATAACTCCAAAGGTAAAGCTTAGAAGTCGTGGGGGTTTGCCTTCACTCGGTGGACTTGCTTAGCTCACTTGCATTTCAGTACTTGACATTCAAAATGTGAAGTGCAGCAATGCCAGCCTTAGTTCCCTGTAGTCTGGTAATGATTCTGACTAATATATTCTCTTGTATCCCATAAGAAGCATCTGCTACACTTTTCCAACCATAGACTGGACTTGCTGCGGCCACTGACTTCTTGTTAGACTGTCATTGGTTGGATGATATCCATTCTGAAGACTTAAGAATAGATGCTTCAGTGTATAGCTTAACACCTTTTTTTTTTTTCATTAATACTACTCAGTCTTCACTAATTAAACGTTACTTCTCTCTATCTTGTGCCTCCTCAGGGAATTCTACGTACCAGTGATACAATTAGGAAGTTTCAGAGTGTACCAGCACAGGCTGGGCAGGCCTCTCCCCTGCTCCAGTACTTTGGAATATTGCTTGACCAGGGACAACTGAACAAGTTTGAGTCTCTGGAACTCTGTCGCCCTGTCCTGCAGCAGGGCCGCAAACAGCTTCTGGAGAAGTGGCTGAAGGAAGACAAGGTAGGCTCGATCATTGCACTAGTCTAATTCTGTTGCCTTGCAACAGCTGAATGTGAACAATACTTCTGTTGATACTAAATCTCTGAATTCTTCTGCTTGACAAAATACCGCTTCTGGCTTCAGCTGGAGTGCTCAGAGGAGCTGGGAGACTTGGTGAAGACAGCCGACCCAACCCTTGCGCTCAGTGTCTACCTTCGTGCTAATGTGCCAAACAAAGTGATTCAGTGCTTTGCTGAAACTGGTCAATTCCAGAAAATAGTGCTGTATGCTAAAAAGGTAATGTTTATCACAAGCTGCAGGCTCTATCTTATGTTTAATGTGTTCTCAAGCTATCTTCCATGACAAAAGTTTGATTCCTGTCACTTAAAACTGGTAAGTAGGTAAGATTGAGTAACACTGTTTTCTTCATTGTCATAGTGCAAGTCAGTGTATGACTACAGTCTGAGCAGTCTGCGAAAAGCATCTAGAATTTTATGAACTATCAAAACAAAGGACTGGCTCAAGCTTATTCTTGAGAATAAAGATAAGATTCTTCTTAAATTCCTAAAATTTAGTTTTGTAATCCATAAAAAGAAAATTGCTTAATGTCTACTTGTTAATTTAGGACTGTACTTGATGAATAGTGCCTTGAAACTGTTGAAAGACTTGTTTCAAGCAGTTTGCTTACCTAGCCAGAGAAATGCCCTGGCACAAGTTCAGTTACTAAGTAGGTGAATACTGAATTTCTGTGTCAACAGACAAGCAGTGCTTTTGTCTGAGAATTCCTGGAAGATGGGGGATGGGCAGGGCAAGCTCACAGCAGTTCATAGTTCCTATGCTAAAGAATCTGAAGGCTTAAAAGATGTGTAAAACTTCCTAGACATGCGTGACTGTTTCTGAAATTTCTAGGTTGGCTATACCCCGGACTGGATCTTTTTACTGAGAAGTGTGATGAGAGTCAGTCCAGAGAAAGGCCTCCAGTTCTCTCAGATGCTGGTACAGGATGAGGAGCCACTGGCTAACATTAACCAGGTGATGCCTACAACAAGAATACTGGTCTCTTTTTAGACAGAGGTAGTAGCATAGTACCATTCTGGGGACTGGTAAGGCCAGTTCAGCTCTATAGTCGTCTTGGTTAGAGAAGTGACTAAACTAATCTAGTCAGGTTTGGTTACCAATAAGTCTTTAGAGGCAAGTGTGTTCTCAACTTCTTGTGGAAGCTTTCTGGTTTATTGATAGTGAATCTGGCATAGTCTTAGTCTGAGCAATAGTTACTGTCTTACTGCTGGCTTTAATGGAGCACACATTAACTCTTCTCATGCAGACAATGTACAGGAAGGTGAAAAAATAAACCTAAGTTGGGTGCTGGCTGCCAGCGGCCACTTCTGGTTGAATGAACATAGAAATAAGGCAACAATTTGCATTATTAAATAACTGAAGGTACTGGAGTAAGTCTTGGTTTTTCTTGTAGCAACTATCCCTACAAGAGGGAAGAGATGGGATTTGCATGCTGTGCTAGAACTAAATAGAGTGAGTGGCAAAATCTGACATAACAGCTCAGAATAATGTACTTTTTCCATTCTAGAGAAAAAGTGAGAAGCTTCTATTACCATGATAGTAATAATCCTATGGAAATGAAGGATATGCAGCATGCTAGGTGTTATAATCAGCTGCCTTTCTGGCCAGGCTGTTAGTATACACAGAAAAATATGCATGTGTGTTTACAGACCCCCTTATCTAACTTGATCAATCTCAACAGATTGTGGATGTGTTCATGGAGCACAGTCTTCTTCAGCAATGCACGTCTTTTTTGTTGGATGCCCTGAAAAATAACCGCCCTGCAGAAGGCCACCTTCAGACTCGTCTCCTGGAAATGAATTTGATTCATGCCCCACAGGTAAGACCTCATAACCAAGTTCCTCCAAAAAGGGGAAAGACAGTAGTAGACTTGCACAAGAGTATGATGTCTGATAATGATATCTCTAAGTAGTTTAGTAACGTGAAAGGCTACTAAGTCACTGCTGTGACTTTTCAGAAATTTGTAGGCTGAGGTGCTGTGATTCTTCAACAGTCTGAATATGAAATGTCACCTCCTAGGTCGCAGATGCCATTCTTGGAAACCAAATGTTTACACACTATGATCGTGCTCATGTTGCCCAGCTGTGTGAAAAGGCAGGTTTGCTCCAGAGAGCTTTGGAACACTACACGGATCTCTATGATATTAAACGTGCAGTTGTTCATACTCACCTCTTGAATCCTGAGGTAAGTCTCTTGTACAGAGTAACAAAGTGTAAACTAAAGTGAAATGAACAGTCTTTGACACTTATGCAGCTGGCTGTAAAATGGCTTGGCGGTACTGAAGCAGCACGGGTGATAGCTGTGATTCAAGAACATTTGGCCAGTTAATGATTAAACTGTAATCTATACTGTCCATAGCTTAAACCTATCCTCAGTTTACCAGCTGTGCATTCCAAATATTATTTTCAAACCGCACTTTTATAGTTGTAAAGATGGTGAGTGTGTTTCTTTTAAAGTCTTTGGTCTTGGTGCGTGGAAGACTTCTCTATAATAGCTGGAGTAGAAACTGTGTAGTTGGCACATCTCAGAAGTCAGTCAAATCCTGTATCAGTGACTCAGTAAAATTTCTGTCTCTACAGTGGCTTGTGAACTTCTTTGGCTCACTCTCAGTTGAAGACTCTGTGGAGTGTTTGCGTGCCATGCTGTCAGCCAACATCAGGCAAAACCTGCAGCTCTGTGTGCAAGTTGCTTCTAAATACCATGAGCAGCTTGGTACCCAGTCTCTTGTGGAGCTTTTTGAATCATTCAAAAGCTATGAAGGTACAGTATTAGAGGGAAGCAGCTTACTTGAAAGAACTGCTTGATTGAAGCAAATAGTAAGGATTCTAGTTTTTATGAAAGAGATACTTGTCACATCGGTGGGACCTTAGGATGCATTTATCATAGTGAGCTCATAATAGTGAGTTCTAGGGGTAGCTTTATTCTAGATAGTTTCTTAACCCTCTTGAGTAAAGATCAGAAAGAAAGATGAAACTGAAAGAGGGGAAAAGAATCCTTCCGATATTTCCATTCAGTTGAATGAAAGCTCCTCTCAGCAGGGTTGAAGTCACAAGCTGAAGCCTGTACAGTCTGCACTTGCTTCATTTACTCTTCTAACAATGTCAAAAACATGTGACTCTTTCTAGGATTGTTCTATTTCTTGGGTTCCATTGTAAACTTCAGCCAGGATCCAGATGTTCACTTCAAGTACATCCAGGCAGCTTGCAAGACTGGTCAGATAAAGGAAGTGGAAAGAATCTGCCGTGAAAGTAACTGCTATAACCCAGAGCGAGTGAAGAACTTTCTGAAGGTAAATATTCTGCCTAGTGAATTGAAGAGTCTTCTGTATATTTTGCTTAGCAGCAGCACCTACAGCTTTCTGATGGAGGGAAATACCAAAAGGTTTAGCTGGTGTGGCTCTGAGTAGCCTTTTGAGTAGCTGAAATAGGAATCTGATCCTATTCCAGGCATAAAATAGATCCTTCTAGGCTGTCCCTGGGAAAACAAGCCCAAATTCACAATCCTTTAAAACTAGCCTGTATGATACAACTTTTACCAAACTCATGAATATACTGTCACCTAGCAATAGGTGAATCCAGGCTGGCAGAAGGAAAGATTATGCTGAAGTATTCAGCATTTGTCAAGGGTATTGGCTAGGCAAAACATTTTAAAACTGGAGTCATCCTGTACTACAACACTTAGCATGCTTTGTAAGTGGGATTCTAACACCTCTTCATTTTGCATTGTAAAGTTCTTGGCCCAGCAATTGTCTTAATTGATATGTGATTTGATACTTATTTTGAAGCTAGAGATGTAGGCCAGTGTGGCACTTCATGAAGAGCTTGAACTTAAAACGTGACCGATAGACTGGCCATATGGTATTCATAGAGGGTAGCTTGCTTTGAAGTCAGTTGTCTGCCTGGCAGTCTTAAACTGCAATGCATTGTGACTTCTAGTGCTAAGGGAACTTGCTCAGATTTCCCTGCTTTGAAAGCACTTGAACAAGTGCTGGTTGCTTACTGAATGATTTTTTTTTTTTTTCCCCTTTTTGCACAGAATACAGGAGGCTAAGCTCACAGACCAACTTCCTCTGATCATTGTCTGTGATCGATTTGACTTTGTCCATGACCTGGTGCTCTATTTATATCGCAATAACCTGCAGAAGTATATAGAGATTTATGTACAGAAGGTAAGGAGGAATCCTGTTTTAAGCTCTGGCTCTTTCCTTCCTTAGAAACAACTTAGACTTAACTAGAACTTCTTCCCTATGTGGAAAGTTGGAGGTGGGTTATTGGTAATGCTAATAACTAATTTTAATGATGGTGGTTTATTCTAGGTGAATCCTAGCCGTATACCAGCAGTGGTTGGAGGGCTTCTTGATGTAGACTGTTCTGAAGATGTCATCAAGAACTTGATCATGGTGGTTAGAGGGGAGTTCTCAACAGATGAGCTGGTGGCTGAAGTGGAAAAAAGAAATCGGTAATGAAAATGCATCTGTAGACACCAGTGTTGGGCTTTCCTGACCCTTGTATGCACCCAAATTGAATTGGATGCAGTTTTGTTAAAGGATACAATACTAAGTGTCAGATTTTTCTTTATAGGAAGATTTCCTTTATAGTTAGATTTGCTAGTCCGTCTCTTGATTATTTTGGTCGTATAGGAATGCTTATAGCACTGCATGATGAATAACATGGCTTTTGAACATGCCTGTACAGCCATCCATGGGATGTGCCTTCAGAGTAAATCTAGATCAAACTGTCTTGACAGTCTTGTAGGCACACAGCAGCTTATGTAATTAGTTTCTAGTTACCTGTAAAATGAGCAGTGAATAGCCAGCTAATAGAACAGCAGTTGAAAGGAAAGACTGTAAAACTAGAGGCATCTGCAACCTCCCCTGATGTTAAACTGCAGATCTGGCCTCCACTCATTTAAGACTCATTAAAAGTAACTGGCCGGTCTGTATTTGCTTTCAAGTCTGACCAGCAAAATTGGTTGAAAGGAAGGCCAGGTTTTGAAGGGAGGCTGTCAAGCATACCTTGGTCTGACTTAAAACCTAAAATGTTTGCTTCTTCAAAGGCTTAAGTTGCTGTTGCCATGGCTTGAATCAAGGATTCATGAAGGCTGTGAAGAACCTGCGACTCATAATGCCTTGGCCAAAATCTACATTGACAGTAATAATAATCCAGAACGGTTCCTTCGTGAGAATCCTTATTATGACAGCCGTGTAGTTGGCAAATACTGTGAAAAGAGGGACCCTCACCTGGCCTGCGTTGCTTATGAGAGGGGGCAATGTGATCTGGAACTCATAAAGGTTAGCAAAACTGCATTTTATAAACATGTTAAAGAACTACTTGCTGCCTGAAGTGGAAGCCTAGCTGGCTAGTAGTCTAACACTTGCAGAATCCTGTCTTGCAGCCTCACTTAGGGGTTGAGTCAGGCAGGATTCTTCTGTATGGAGACAGCAATTTTTATGTTGATTAAAAGAATTTATGCTACATGTCTGAACTAAAATTGTCTAACTCTGCAACTTTGAAGTACCATCTATGTCTTCCATCTGCTGATTCTTCTCAAAATTAAACTATTTGGCTCAAATAATGAATATGCCTACCATTAAACCTTTAATAATTTGATTTTTTTGAGCCTTGAGCACTTGATCAGCAGAAGGGAGAGACTGTCATCTAGCTGAACTCTGCAGGAGGAGAAAAAGCTTCCTTGAAACTAGAACAGGGCTTTCAGTTATTCTTTACTGTGATTGACCCTTAGAGTTGCTCCAATACTTAACCAGAAATGAGGAAAATGAATATTGACAGTCAAACTGCAAGGACTTGTTCCAGTAACATTCCTCTTCTATCTTAAGCTTGTTGTTCCTAGAACACCCCCCCCCCCGAAGTTCAAGGGCAAGTGAAATTCCCAGGTTCTCAACATGAACACAAGAGCTTAATGCCAGATTGTAGTGCTTGTGGCTGCTGAGAAAAACAAAATTCTCCTCCTACTTGCACTTCCACACTAGTATATGCAGAGAATGTCAGCTGTGAGCATTAGAATGGTAGTATAATCTAGGCTTGCTGCTGAAAGGCGATGAGTTTCCAGCCAAAGCAGTTATTTTTTGGAGTAATACCTCCTCCGTAGCTACTAAAAAAGGGCTGGCTACATTTCACTTCTTTATTTCAGGATGTGAAGGTGGCTCTGAGCTGGTTTTTTTAGCTGAGAAACTAATAGGGTAAGCTTTAACACTCTGAGTAACCATAAAAACCTGTCTGTACCAGTGTGTTCCTTAAATTGATGTTCTGAGATGGTGTTTCTGGTTATGGAGAAAAGATCTTCCTCCTGTAGTAATTACTCTTGAGACATTGTTGTCCCCTAGAAGGCAACTCAACTCCTTCAACTAATAGATGTACAGTGTAAAGCAAAATTCTGCTACTACTAATTTGCTTACAGCAAAGTAATTGAGATTCCATGAGCTAATTTGGCTACTAACAAAGAATTACCTGTTGGTACAAGATGAAATAGGCCTTCGGGTTTCTATTATTCTAGCTGGAAATTGAAGGTAGTGCACTAAAAATGATCATGGCTTTGTAACTCTTCTGTGGTGCACTGCTATAGGAGATTTCACATTTATTCTGTACCCTTAACACTTTAGCAGGGAAATCCAAGCCACTTGCTACTCTGAACACTTTGAAGGTAAAGCTAATGACACCAAGTATGTAACCTATTTCTAGCTTTAAACACTGGCACCGTTCTTCAGTTCACTACTTAACACTGCCCAGGCAAGGGACTCCCCTTTCTAGATTTAAAACTTAAGTTCTTCAGGCTTCTGCAGGTCTTCACTTCAAACAGAAGCAAATAGTTACTGTGAAGCCACTGTCACAGTATTTGTGTCTCGGGCAAACCCAAGAGAAGCTATAGAAATTCTGCTGGAGACGTTCTCCATGAGCCTTCCAGATCAGAGGTTGGGTAAGAACTTGTCTGCGGCATTTAGCATTGGTCAGCAATTAGTTCTAGTCAGTCTTCTAGACTGTCTGGTTCATAGCTAGCTAAACCTGTCTTGTGGTACTGACCTTTAACATTAATGCCAATATTTGTACCTTCTTCAGGTGTGCAATGAGAACTCACTGTTCAAAAGCGAGGCTCGCTACTTAGTGCGCAGGAAGGACCCTGAGCTCTGGGCAAATGTTCTGGAAGAAAATAACCCGTTCAGGCGGCAGCTTATTGACCAGGTACAGCAAAAAGGCTAAACTTTCAGTATATGGAGACCTCAGGATGTCTCAGAAATATCATGGACCATTAAAGTAGCACTCGTCCCTCAAGGCCCTGTCTCAACCATACAGAAGTTTGAGAGTTTGGGTGGCAAGTATTAATTCTGACCTTTGTGGTCAGAAAATTTAGTTACTAGTAAGATATTTGTTCTGTCCTATGCAGTGACCTATCTCTAGTAATTTGTTCCCTATATAGATACAAGATGTGACTTGACATCTATATGAGATACAGCTATTAGCTGTTTCTTGCTGTCTGTGTCAAAATACTCTCAAAGTTATGAAACTTTAATTTATAGTTCATTGGAATAGGTTGGCCAATATTTAATTTGGGGAAAATACTTAATACTTTCCTGCCTTTTCAATCTAGGTTGTCCAAACAGCTTTATCAGAGACACAGGATCCAGAGGAGGTTTCTGTAACAGTAAAAGCTTTCATGACTGCTGATCTGCCTAATGAATTGATTGAGTTATTGGAAAAAATAGTCTTGGATAATTCCGTATTCAGTGAACACAGGTAAGAGGAGAGCTTTGTCCTCAAGTTTAGCCTATTCAATGCCTTTGTTTAGGTTGTGAAGTGACCCAAGTTGTTACGAGCCTCTTGGTTGCAGGACCTAAGCACTCTCCAGTGTGTACAATCAAGTGTAAAATCCAGAATTTAAAGTGCTCTGTGCTTTAAGAACAGAGCTAGGTCACACTATGCAGTTTGCAGTGATGTGTTAGAGAAGAGAACACTGATACTGATAAGCAGTTTCTTTTTGAAGGCAAATATCGGTGCTTCTCAGTTTGGAGATGAAAGGTCATTGGTAGTGACAGCAAGCTGATGTATTTTTTACGTGGACAATCCATGTCACTTAAACAGCTGTTGCTATGCACTGCTTATAGCCTATGTCTTCTGTTAACCAAAGGAATCTCCAGAATCTGCTGATCCTGACTGCCATTAAGGCTGACCGCACTCGTGTGATGGAATACATCAATCGGCTGGATAACTATGATGCCCCAGATATTGCAAACATTGCCATCAGTAATGAGCTATATGAAGAAGCCTTTGCTATATTCAGAAAATTTGATGTTAATACTTCAGCAATTCAGGTGAGGTATGGTTCCTGCATGATGGTATAGAATACTTCATTGGGCAGAAATAGCTGTTCTAAAAGCAGTCAGCTTTGTATTGCTTATACAGAGTGGTGTATACACTTGAAGGAAGAGTTCTGTTAGAAAGGACAGTGTTATAAAGAGTTAATTTTTAACTTGCAACTTCAATTTCAAACAGGTGCTGATTGAGCACATTGGCAACTTAGACCGTGCTTATGAATTTGCAGAGAGATGTAATGAACCAGCAGTGTGGAGCCAGCTAGCCAGAGCACAGCTCCAGAAGGACTTGGTGAAAGAAGCCATTGACTCCTATATAAAGGCAGATGATCCATCTGCCTACATGGAAGTTGTTCAAGCAGCTAATAGAAATGGTAAGGCAAAGCATTCTCAAACTTAAGATTGTTTGGATATAAGCTAGGTTATTGCATTTACATCAAGCATCAGGGATTCTTGAGACCCAAGAATTTGTTGGGAGTTTGGAACAGTCAGTATGTAGAATGGATGAGTCAATGTTTGGTGAGATTCCTGTCACCAAGCTTGTCTGTGTTGCTATACCAAAGATAGACCTTCAAGTGGAGAAAATTTGGACTGTTACCTAAAATATAGCCAAGTATAATGTATTTATTTAGCTGTATGTGACAGAATTGCTTGCCAATTGGATTGTGGAGTAGTTGCCAGAAGTTCACCCTTATGTGAAGGTGGCTTAGTGTTTAGCAGGGAATTCTGTAAGCCAAGTGCAAATAGCTTACTATGGTGGTGGAGGAGAGCAATACAGAATGACTCGAACACGGGATCTTAATTATCTCTTCTTTCTTCAAGATAACTGGGAGGACCTAGTCAAGTTCTTACAGATGGCCAGGAAGAAGGCTAGAGAGTCTTATGTAGAGACAGAACTTATTTTTGCTTTGGCAAAAACTAATCGTCTGTCAGAATTGGAGGAGTTTATTAGTGGCCCTAATAATGCCCACATAAAACAGGTAGGTCTTGATCCACAGTTCCCACATATGACTTGCTGCTTTGCTGACACCTGATTCTTACTGTTACCCTTGTTTACTTTGGACTCCTAATCCAGGTTGGAGATCGCTGTTACGAAGAGGGGATGTACGAAGCAGCAAAACTGCTCTATAACAACGTATCCAACTTTGCTCGCCTGGCATCTACCTTGGTGCACCTTGGGGAGTATCAAGCAGCAGTGGACAGTGGCCGCAAAGCCAATAGTACAAGGACTTGGAAGGAGGTAACTTAACCTTGTGGGTTTTTTAGAAGTCTGCAGAATGTGCTCTGCTGTTGCTTCTGAGCATGTTGCTTTAGCTCTGATAGCAGCCTGTGAACTGTTTTGGCTGCAGAGTATATGTGTGGCTTTAGAACCTATTGTGTTGCTTCAGATATTTAAGCTTAATTGTCAAATTTAATGTAAAACAAATGACAGTTTTTAATTCTAGAATAAGCATTATGGAAATATCTATTTGGAACTGTTAGTAAACCTCAGATTTGGTAAAGCTTTGCAAATTAACACTCCCTTTAACATAAGGAGATTGAGCATTGTGATATTCTCCTGTTAACTATTTGCTGACTGTCATTACAGGTGTGCTTCGCCTGTGTGGATGGAAAAGAATTCCGCCTGGCACAGATCTGTGGCTTACACATAGTCATCCATGCTGATGAACTTGAAGAGCTGATCAGTTACTACCAGGTTAGTCACAGTTAATGTCCCAGAAGACTTTAGACAGCATACTTGTATTTAGTAGTAAAAATTGCAGATAAAACCCAATACCTTGTGGAGGTGACCTTTACGTTCACTTTTCCTCTATCTCCATCTCTAGTGGTTGCCTGCATTTTTTTTAAATTCTGTAGTAAGTGGAGCAGTTTTCACTATTCCTCCTTTTACAATTCTGTTGCCTCACTGGAATAATTTCTTGCAAATCTAAGATTAGCATGTCTTGACAAGACATTAACACTTGGAGAGAAAAGCAAAGCATGTTGAAATTAAGTAAGTATGTATTTTAGCAAGTTTTAAGTGCCAGCTGATCATGAGTTTGCAATTGATCTTCTTTTTCCTAACATTCAGGATCGTGGCTACTTTGAAGAACTGATTGCCCTTTTGGAAGCTGCTTTGGGCCTAGAGCGTGCCCACATGGGAATGTTTACTGAACTCGCCATATTATATTCCAAATTCAAACCTCAGAAAATGAGGGAGCATCTAGAGCTCTTCTGGTCTAGAGTTAATATTCCAAAGGTATGCAGTAAGGTAGCTATGCTGCAAATGAAGGTGGGAAGCTGTCAGTGAATCCAACTGATGGATTTGTTTATTTGTTTGTTTTATTAGGTGCTCAGAGCTGCAGAACAGGCTCATCTCTGGGCAGAACTTGTATTCCTCTATGACAAGTACGAGGAGTATGACAATGCAATAATTACGATGATGAATCATCCCACTGATGCCTGGAAAGAAGGCCAGTTTAAAGACATAATTGCCAAGGTAAGTAACCGGTTAACTGAAGCAAAGTGCCAAAAGCCTCTTTCAGAACAGAGGCAAATATGCACAACAGATCTGCTATTTAGAAAAAGGGTTTGCTTAAGCTACTACTCAGTTTTCCTGCAGTACTTAAAACAACTTCCAATCAGTTTAGCACAAGAATTAATCTAATCTTATACCATTTATTTTCTACAGGGCAGCACTTTGTGCAGAGTGGCAGCAGCTAGCACAAAATATTTTCAGCCACTACTCAGGATCATAGGTCACAAGCAAGAGGCCTGATCTCCTTTGAGCTGTCTGCTGTCTTAGTCTAAGGCTGTAACTGTTCTGAAAAGATGTCTGCCAGTGTTTCCAGCTGTTTCAGTGTGAGAATTGGGTTGGGCTGTCCCATGAATACAGTAGAGAATAATGAATGAGAAATTAGTTTAGAGAAGATTTAAGACTGAGCACATTCTTACTGGTCTTATGGCTTTCAGCAACAACTTAGACTGTTTAAGGCTACAGCCTTTATTTGCTTCAGGAGTTTGACAAATGGCCACATTAATTATAGTGGACTAGCTGTGCCAGGATCTCTGTGGATAGGTTAGAATTGATTTGTACTACCCCTGGTAGTCTGTGACTTCACTGTCTGGAAGCATATGGCACAAGAAGCAGTCATAAGATTGAACAGTGTCATGGTTTAACCTCAGCCAGCAGCCAAGAACCACACAGCTGCTCACACTCCCTCCTCCCCTCTTTTCCCCCCCAACCCGGAAGAATGGGGAGGAGAAAAAAATGAAGTAGAACATGTAGGTTGAGATAAGAACAGTT